GTTGTGCTTGAACGCCGTGCGTCATTAAATCTCGCATGTTCACAATATGCGGAAAAGCCGCTTGCAAACGGCTTTCCCGTACTCTGGGACGTGCTGCTGCTTGGGTATTTTGAGCGTAAATTGGGTTCCGGCTGCATAAGTCTTTCCATCAACTGGTCTGAGAGTGTGGAATCTGGGTGAGCCAATCAGAAGGTTGTGGTTATAGAACGTTTTCTCGTCTCGTCACTCGATCTTTTCTAACGCTTGGAATAAAATTTCTGGATTACTTTTCCTAATTGGGAACACTGTAGATCGAGAAACAAACTGTTGTAAATAGAACTGAAAACTTCCAGCTGGGAGGAAGCGGACCAGTTGGCTATTTTCAAGACATGAGGTATGGAGGAGATGCCTTGATTCGTGACACCGGACACAAATCCAGTTAGCGGCAGGGTGGCGGATTTGAACCCGGGAATCCAGCGCCTTTTAACTACCAGGCCGCGCCCCCTTCCTTATCAGCGAATAGACCACGACGAGAGACCGAGGCCATATAAGATTCGCGATCTCCTAAGAACATGTTGAGTATTACTGATTAGAAATAGAATCAGCTCAATTCAAGATGAGACTTATCATAATAAATAAATTTAAATCATAAATATAGAAATGCAAATGCAAATAAAACTGAGACCCCTTTAGGCTAATAAGATCAAGACATATCATCATCAATGTTTTTCCTTCCTGATTATCATTCGCTGAGAAAAAAATTAAAATAACAGGAAGTTAAAAATAAAACATACAAAGGAACAAACATGTCACAATGTTCCTTTTCCATCAAAGGCAAGGCTGCATTGAATAATCAAATTGATTTTTAAAATAGAGACTGCAATTAGCGTCTCCTTTTCTTTCTGAAAACATTTTCGGAAAAGTTAATTTTAAAGTAGGGTAGAGCTTGATCAGAGGTATAACAACATGCGGGATTGGCTCGGGAAAACGAAACCCGATTAGTTGGGCTTGTTCTGATGAGGTAGAACGGTCTTCATAGAGTTTGGAAACGTGGCCAGTATTGCGCGCACATAACTGGCCATAACTAGTTTCGATGGGGAACCATAACCCGCTCCGTTGAAATGTAAAGCAGACGTCTCTAGACGTGTCAATTGCGAGTGCCTGGGACCAGACCGGACTACAGGAAATTAAAAGGGCAAAGGTTTATTTCTTGGTAACTCATTTAACAATGAGTTTACCTTCTTTAAGGTTAGGCCGGCTATAACCGCCACTATCGCCCTGACTAACACTGGAAATTGTAGTTTATATCACTCATACTATAGTCTTTCATCCCAGGGGTACTTCTACATTGGGGTCTCACGGGAATGCTCTTTGAAAGGTTTGGAAAGATAAAAGGTAACATCCACTGCAACATGTGTACAGCTACCGCGGAGAACCAAAACAAAAGAAACTCGAATTCTTGAAATTTGGCTCAAGAACGTCTTGACAGACACGAAGAAGCCCGGCGAAGAAGTACCGTGATAGTTGCATGTACGCAAATTTGAAATGGAATCACCTGGGCCGTACAAGGTTTTCAACTTGTAATTCACGGTGTTAAACACACCGTCTGTCTGGCAATGCCGTATAACATACGTTTTCCCTTTTCCCATTTTGTGAGCCACTGATCTAGGTAACCTTAGTTTAATTGTTTTAAAAACTTTTTGTTTTACTTTTCTTGTACGAGCAATGTCCTACGGACTGACATGTTTGGCACTTTGCTGTTTCAGTTTAATTCCGGATATCAAAACCAAAACAAAAAATCCAGGTTGAGAACGACACTCCCTTTAAGTAGAGGAAGTCATACCCTAACCAAACTTTTCCCAATAAAACAGGAACTTGAAATGATAATTTTCTTTCCTAGTATACGAGATAATATTTTTATGACCCATATGTGTTGACAAACTGCGCGTAGAAAGACAAATGGTGGATTAAGTCAACTTAATTATTACTAGTGGCGCGCGACGCTGCCCTGTTCAAACACTCATCGTTCTGTCACGAGGTATGCGATAATTAAAGAAGGTTTGTTAAGCCATAAGGAACGGAAAAGACTAATGTGACGTAAAAAGGGCTGAAATGGCGACAGAAACTCGAAGAACACCGGAAGTTATTTTAGTTCAAGCGAGGAGGTGCACTTCTTCGTTTGCAATTGAATAGAAAGGCGTAATTACTGGAACGCCAAAATATCGCGTTTAGTTTGATATGGCTGCAGGGCTGGCGCTACAGTTAATGTTTTGACTTTGTCAACCCACGCCCTGACCATTTTTGGTCACCGTTGAGATTGTGTTACACGAATTTGTCGTTCACAGTTCATGCACCCAGTCGCATTGACGTCATCGCTGACCGGAAGCACTCGCGTTGAAATAAGCTTGAACGCGGTGTGTCTTGTCAGTATGACCTCGTGGCGCTTAGCAATCCATTCGTACTCGCAACTCGAGAAACAAGTCGCTAAATCTCCTGAACGACCTTGAAAGCTAGAGACGAAAGGTAGGTCTTCAGTCCGACAAGGACTTTTATTGCACAAACGACGTTTATGAAATACCCCAAGGTCTTTAAATGCAGCCGGCTATTATATACGCTCGCTTCATTGCTCATTCACTGGAGCGTGTTAACTCTACTTAATACACGTTTTGCAGACTTTTCATCAAATGCAAATTTCACGGAGTTATTGTTAGTGAAAAGAGCTCTCTGAAATTGTTTCGTTGACGAGAACATCACTTAAACATCGCTCCTTTTCCAAAGGGAAAGATAGTCAGCGACGAAATTGCTGAAGGTGAACAAATTACTGAAGGCTAACAAATCAGAACTTCCATCTAAATTTGTAGATTTTGGAGTAATTACGGTATGTAGACTCTGTTACTGTTCTGATCAATTCATTGACGTGCTTGGATAATCCGATTCTACCCTATTACAATGTCGATAAATTTGCTGTCAAGAAAGTTTTGCTAACTACAGAAGGGTTTAATTCCGAAATCTCATCAGTTTCAGTAAAAATTGACAGTCTCTGCTGGGTGGTTCGAGTTTTATAGCGAAATTCCCGATCCACAACAGTAAATCGTAAATACAGAAGAAACATGTCTATAGTTTGAAGAAAGTTCTGTAATAAGAGTTGCACGCAACTTAATTTTACTTTCTACCGTGTGCTAGCCTGCGTCGCAGACAGTCCAAACTACCGGACTATATCGGGGATTTTATGACGCGTCCGGCTGCAACGCAGGCTACCGTGTACCTCATGCATTGAAGCCGTACACAGCGAAATTTATTAGGACTGATCAACTCATGACTGTAAGTAGTGGAACTGCCGGGAAGCGAAAAAAATTATGTTGCATCATCTATTTCATGCATCGCCACAAGCATCGAAGAGCATATTTTCCTTCGTGTTGAGAGAATTGTTTGCAGATAAAATTATCGATTGAGATTCGCGGTACGCAAAAGCTTGTTAACCCACGTGCAACTAACTGGAAGGCTTGTAAAGTTAAAAGCTGCGGGTTCGGGGCAGCGATAGAGTATCATGATATAAAGATTTTACTCCCCATTGTTCCCCTCTAAATATATATTACTGCGGTAACCAATCTGTTTAGCTAATCTTTATGAACAACAAACATTTAAGGTCAGGTTAGCAAAACAAATTTTCTTGTACTTAGTAAGAGATGAAAGATGTAAAAGTAATCCGCCTTGCAACCGCAACGTTTGCGGTGTATGTAATAGCCCCGGGTAATAGCCACTTATGTCTCCCTAGGAAACCCAATATCATGATTTAAGTTGATATGATCTATCTAAAAGAACCCAACTCACGCGAAGCCAGATTTCATAGTGGACACCGAATCGAGCAAGGACTTCCAACTATTGAGTAATTTTTTTTTCCACCCGCAGTCTTCGTTTTCATTTGAAATAACTTCGCGGTTGATAATTGAAGAAAGAGAGTTCTCACTTTACTTCCACGTATTAAAACATGCAGGGAGCAAAGCTTGCTTGATACCGGTTTATAAGAGGTTGCGTAAATTTGAAATAACGATTGGAATTATTAAACAGCGTGACTATCGAGAAAAAAATGTTTTGAACAGGAAATCCTCAAGCGGTTTCTAAAACATGTACTGATGACAAATTAAAACGTTCACTAGTAAATGTTGCCGGCTTGACTTCTTGGAGCTGAGAACTGCTGAGACACTTAATAATTCCTAACCATTTTCTCAGAAACTCTTTCCGTTTACTTCCTGGGAGCGGCCCTTTAATTTTCTTTGAACAGGAAATCCATCGTGTCGCTTTGACGGCTAATATGCTTAAAAGCATTTCCGGATCTTTAAATGACCTTTATACTTCTTGCGCCCGTTTTCCTGGGAAAAAATGAGCGATTGAGCAATTCTGCTTTTAATAATGTCAGCCTGGAGTTATACATATCGCACCGCCGAGACCGCCTCGAGAAACTGTTCCTCAAACAGAGAGAAAATGAAAAGAAAACATGCAATAACTCGAACGACTTTGCATGATGTACGTATATTTTTGTTATGGCGAGATGTTCGCGCATTTAAGCTAAAATATCAAAAGCTCTCGATTTGGCGGACAGCTTATCGACGAGGGCAAGTTCCGTTACGTTAACCATCCATTGTTTGATGATAATCTTAATTCTCGTCACGTTTTTGCTTGACAAGGTAACAATTTTTTCGCGGAGAAATTAAGATGTTAATCATTTTTAATTCATGCAAGACTTAACTTGCAAACCTGACATTTATACTGCCACCTTCATTTTTAGGTACTTTAAACTGAAACCAATAAAATATGGCAAAAAGAAAGTTGTTGGTAATCTGTCTGATTGCGTTGGAGCTGGTGGACATGGCTGTATCGGCTAAAAAAGTGAAATGTAAGTAGCTCGGTTTTTGCTCAATCTCGATTGTAACCACTGGTTTATAGAGACGGCATGCCGCTGGGAGCCTGGGGCGGATCCCTGAAAGCTTCCGGTATCGGCAAAGAAAGTTGAATTTGCCAACTGTCTGCCGACATTAACAAGACTAAAAGAGTATAAACGCTCAAAGGATGAAAGACTAACTGGGTTTAAGAAACGTTTTGGACCTCTGAAAGCACTCGTCAGGAGCCATACAGATCGGCTTCTACTGAAATGACTGAATGACTGAATTAATGATGATATTGCGGCTTTTCCAAGACCGCACTACCTGGGGGTACTCCCAGAAATTTTGGGTGGGGGTGTGCGGATGGATTTTTGTTGACGGTCTTATCGATAATGATGCAACAGTAGCTTCTTCTAAAAAGCATACCCAATACAAGACTAGAGTGCAAAAACCATACCCCATTTAAAACCATGACACTGATGACTGATCTTTAATTCTTCTCAGATTTGGACAACCTTTTATGTAAAACGTACGAGACCGTGGTTCCTGTAGATCCCTCCAATCACGGTTATTACCCGTTTTTTGTCAAGCTCCATCGCTGCGCCGGCTCGGCGAGCACAGTTTCTCCAAAAGTGCAGCATTGTGTGGCCCACAGCTACGACGAATTAAGCATTCAAGTTTTTTCGCACTCGTCCAACTTTCGGTCAACCACCATTACGATGAAGAATCACACAAGCTGTGCTCATGAATGCGTCACCAGTCCGGATGAGTGCAATTTTGCCGTAGAGGACTGGGACGATCAACACTGTACGTGCAAGTGCAGATACCCTGATGGACCGCCAGAAGAATTCGCCTGCAAGGATGGCTTTAGGTAGGTCCTTGAATGGTTTAATTAATCTTACAAGGATTCGGTTTGGTGTTCGACGTCTAGCAGCTCAGCAGGTCGGTTTCCAAATCAGGTGTCCGTAGAGAGGCGGCTGAAGGTGTTGCCTCTCTCTCTGGAAGGGGTCTAACAGGGGATCGAGTTATTAGTTATTAGGGGCGCGATACGCGCGAGATACGAGTCTGGGCCCACGCGCGCGGTCTCACTCGCGAATCTCTACAACTCACTCCGTATCATTACTAGAGTGCTGCCTCTTCAAGCTAGACGTGATCCATCGCTAGTTATTTCCTAATATTTTGTCAGGTTGCCCCAACAATTCATTGGTACGCCATACCGAAGTACAGGGAAACAGTATGATAGAGCTTGCAAGTAAGATGCCTTGCTCAATAACAGAACACTGTGAGCCAAGTAAGGACTCGAACCCAGACTGCTCGATTCGGAGCCTCGCGCCCTGACTAGTAGGCCACCTATTCTCCCGTGTCGTTGCTAAGATTCTCTAAGCTCAACTTATTTTAATTTCCTTTAGGTGGAACAGCCATAAATGCAAATGTGAATGTGATAGAGCTCCCGATCATTGCCCTGTCAGAAAGGTAAGACAAGNGGCGTGATAAGTCTGAGAGCAATTTTAGAGGACAATAAACAGTCTCGTCTCCAGTGTCGCTTTTGAAGGTTCCTATCGTCTGCTGCATGAAAACATACTGAAAGGAGCTCATGCCAGTCGCGGTATTTTGAGTTATTTTGGCCGTGTACAAAATTACCTTTGCAATTATTGAAGGAAACCTGAAAATAGTAGTTTCTTAAGATAGAAAAACAGCAGAGAGATGATAATAAACTATAAAGGAACAAGGATGGTTAAGGATGGAGAAGATTAACACGGATTACAAACGACGAACTTGAAAAATTGACGCTAAACTTTCAAGATGCGTAAACCATGACGTAGCTCCTCTAAAGTGAACGATTTCCAAGAAACTTTGACTTTCAGTCATGATGAAAGATCAGTAATGATTATATTGTCTCGGAGTTGTCTTGTTCACAATTAAGATAGCTGTGTTGCTTTATTGCATTAATAATTGATTTCTTGTGTTTTTTCCTCAGGTCTGGAGTAATGATATTTGTGGCTGCAGGTGTGAAAACAGTGCAGTTAATGAGTGTACACAAATGGACATGGGAATTGATGTAGATTGCCAGTGTGTAGACGTGCAGGCCTTCCGCGATCACAAATCAGGTAAGAAAAGTACTTGCCAAACAAATAGTTTGCATGAAAATCTTGTGTAAACTGAATATGCAATAGATCCTTCGATCTATCAAGCTCTCTTACACAGTCTTCTTTAGGTATATGTTGACGTGCCTCAAAAGATCCCCCCCGCCCAGGCAAAAGATACGGTGGAAGAACGGTTTTAGTTTTACATAAGGTGATTACATTACCTTTTTTGTAATGGAGGCCCGGTGTCTTTTTGTTGAGAAGATCATCTACATAGGACTGCTTTTGTTTTACAGGACGTTACTCTTGGCCACTGATGAAACTCAAAATGAGACAGCCGGAAAAAAAAAACATTTAAAAAGATGTGTTTTGTTTTTCTTTGCAGTTCATTCAAGGAATCGTATGTTCATAACGCTCCTGATTGGTCAAGCAGTGCTGATTATTCTGCTCATTTGTGCTCTGGTGCACTGGGTACGAAAAAGAAACAAACAGAACTCGTCTCATTCCCCGCTCGACAGATTAGACTCGCGCAAGATTAGTGACGGTAAGTATGCACCTTCCAAGTGTCTCTAGCATGTGTTGGTTTTGTGGTAGATTACCACACAGCCATTTCTTGACTTGGGACTTCCTCGACCGAACGATTTTTGATCCTTGCAAACTGACCAAAGCACAAACCTAGAGGGGAAAAGAGGTGCGGTAGAAATTAATCAAAGGAGCCCCCTCATGGCTTACGTATCTTGAAAAATTCAGCCAAAATTTTTCAAGTTCGTCGTTTATTATAATCCGCGTTAATTTCCTCCATCTTTAACCATGCTTGTTTCTTTATGGTCTATTATTGTCTCTATAATTTGGTGTTTTTCTATATTAGTAAGCTAATATTTTCGGGTTTCCTTCAATTTGAAGGTAATTTTGTAAGCGACCAAAATATGAACTCAAAATGCCGCGACTGAGCTCCTTAAGAACTCAAACTGCGGACGAAAACAAGCCGGCAATACAGCATCAATTAACTAGCCTCCAAAATTGCCGTGTCATTTTGTTAACTGTAAATTACTATAATAAAAAGTATTTCCATCGTTTAATTTTTGCAGATTTAGAGGTGGTGGTGGGATCCGAGTGTACAAACTCCTTAGATGATACAAAGGAGTCGACCGATGACGACAGCTGCACTGCTCCTCTGTCCCCTAAAGTACAGATAACAGATATATAAGACCTGGATATAGACCCGGTATTTCATGGACAGTGAATATGGAAGAGACGCGGGATGTCAATTCAGAAAAAGTCCGTCAAGGGAACGAGGCAAACCAAGTGTCGCTTAGATCAAAGACTGAAAGTAGCGCCTGAATAATCAAAAGAAAAAGATTATTTTTGGCCAAAGCTTAACCATTTCAATGATAATTTTGGTCAATTCAAGTTGTAATCGCTCATTATAATCCTTGGCTAAATTGAAATTGATGCCTATGCGAGTTGTGATATGGAAGGTACTTCAAAGCTTAATTAAGAGCTATTTTGTTGGTCTTTTCCACGCTCTCGCTCGGTTTCTGGGAGCGAGAAAAAGAGGAACGAGGCGTGCGGGAGAACGAAGGGAATCTGGGGAAGAAAGTGCCTTTTTTCCACTCCTTCTTCGCGACAGCTTCGCGCAAGCAATACGTTATTCTTGAAACGTAGCAACATTCATTAGAAAATGTAGAGTTTATAATGCGATATTTTATTACCTTTTCTAAGAAAAGAAGTTGTTTTGAACGAATACTACAATAGTGAACATAAGTATAGCCACCACGACTTGGAGGCAGACAAAGTAGTGGTAATATCACGTGACTTTTGTGTCGTATTCTCACTGACCAGCAACTTCAAACCCAGGCCCGTTCTTGGGCAGTAAACGACATTGCTGACGAAATTGCGACTATTAACTTTCATGTAGGAAAGCCGTTTTCATTGTTTAGAATTATCTGTTGTATTTAGCTGATATACATGTCAATAAATTGTACATAGGCAAAATGTGTTGGATTTATTTTCGAGGAGATTTTAATTCCGTAAACGGGCGCCGAGAAAATCATCCCCTGAGGGAGAAAAAACCCAAGTCGGGTTGTCAATGACCCACAGTAGCTTTTACGTCCCAGGGATTTTTCCCGCCATTTGGAAGGGTGCAAACGTGAGGGGAAATTCAGAAAGATCATTTGTCGTTAAATCATGTCGACATACTTCTCAGTACTAAACAGGTAATCTACCCTATGTCGAAATCTAAACTTAACACTTTCACTTTAAGTCAACTCTCTTTCACCCACCCCTCCCCCACCTCCCTCTTCTCGCCACGGGCTAGTCGTACCTGTAAAGCTTTTACCAGACTGGCTCAAGTTATGAAGACACAACGCACTGTAAAGGTTCCGTTTGTCTGATTTTAGCCGTAGATTGTACTGTTAAATTTCGGTGTGGAAGCGTTTCTATTTATTTCGACGCACCTGAGATTTCCGAAGTGGTCGGTTATCATTCCCCAGTCGCGGGAAAAAAGTGAAGGTCTGTAAGATCATCATCATGCAAAAATAACCGTTATGACGGAACCCGTGTAGAATACGTTGATCGTGAAGACCACACTTTTTCTGCTACAACTCTTGAACCTTCTGGAACCGAGTCTTACATTCGGAAAACGAAATCAATGTTTTCCCGGGATTTTACCGACAAATAAAATCTCTAGGAAGGAATGTTTGTGGTTGTCATGCCCATAGCATAGCGATGGATTTCCCAGAACTGTACGTTTCTCGGCAAATTGGGTCAAAGGTTACGGGAGAAATTGAAACCAAGGACATTATTTTTTATTAGCATGCATATACCTGTTAGCTTATGATGATGCACCCCCCGGAATTTTGGAATTTTTGTAACATTTGATGAAAATTGGCCGGTAGGTTTAAAACTTGTCACGTATTTTGATGTACTGTACGAGCAAATACGCTTACTCGACCGAAACTATAAAATTGTTTCTTGCCTCATGTAACAATTTATTGAGAAAATGAAAACTCAGGA